GTCCCCATTTTGGCATGAGGTCCTAGGAAGTCAGTTTTACTGTTGGAAAACATTAATACCTTTATTTGGGGGGCTTAAGGCTTGATAATTATGAACTAGAAAAGATGTAAATAAAAAAGGAAACGTTATCGTAATGTAATTAACTTCTAGAGTTGGAATGTTGATAATGTTTTTGTTATACACAGACTGTGAGTGGGCTGTTTGGTGACGTGGGCTGGTGTGGACTCATTGTTGGGTTGATAGCTTGAGAGGTAAGCTTTCGTGTCCTCGATTTTGCCCATTGTTGGTTCCACTATACCTCATGGAGAGATGGTTATATGTATGCTGTGTTTTTGTGAAAATATGAAATGATTACTGAAATGCTATTGAGCTGTTTATTTGAGTGCAAGTGTCATATGATATGTATGTGGTGTTCCACATAGACGGTAAGCTTGAGTATGTGGCGACATACAAGATGTTGATTCTGTGGGTGAGGTACAAGCGATGTTCCTTGTACTATAGGTTGTAGACGTATGTAATCCCTACATGTTTATTCTCTGGCCAGTAGGATGTTGACACACATGACATGGATATATGATGCATTGCACATATTTTGGAAATGATATTATTATACTGTTTTGGAACTTATATTGCACATGTAAGTGAGCTTGGGGTGGAGAGATTCTTGAGGACCCCTTGTCTTACTGAGATTTCTTTTTAGAGATCTCACCTTGTGTTGGGGCACATTTTCAGGTTCAGGTACCTCGGGGGTTGATACCTCTAGCGGTAGGAGGCCAAAGTTGAGTTGAGATGCATGCTATTTATTGATATGCTTGGATGTTGACCATGCTTTATTTTAATTATCATGTTATTTGAGTTGAGATATTGTTGGGCTTTGTTGCCTTATTTGGTGAGTATGGGGGTTGTCCATGCCACATTGATTATGTTATGTTTATTTAGTTTTGAGTTGTATAATTGTATCAGTATTGTCCGATCTACGTGTTGTAATCCCGTGACTAGATACACATTTATATTATGAGGTTATTTAGTGCAATTTACATACAGACAATATTTTGAAAAAGGAATAAGTAATCAACTTGGTTAATAATGATGACGTCATAATTGAAAAGAAAAAGTTAGCTTCTGCATTTAATTGTGTTGTGCTTAATACTGTAATATGATAACAATCCGGGTATACACGGGGTGTTACATAGTGCTCTCAGCTGGTACAAACTTTGGAGTGGGCTTAGTTTTTAGGTAAGTTGGCAGAGCTTTGATAGAGCATTTATAGGGAGATATATACCTGAGATCTGTATAGTAGATGACGTTGGATTATCGATTAATCCAGAAAAAGGAGGAAAAAGAATCAGCAAACAAAATCAAAGAAACAAAAAAAAGGAAGAAAAAAAGAACGTAAATGCAGATGCAGATCTAAGCACCATGGAAGAAGAAGAAGCAGATCGAAGAACAGAAGAAGATGATATTGTAGAAGAAAAAAATATAAAAGTGCAGAAGTAGAGGTGGTAGAAAAAGAAACAAAAAATAGAAGAAAAAGAAACAAAAAAAAGAAGACGACGAAATCAGCAAAGGAGAAGAGGCAAAAATCGAAGGTGCAGAGGGATGTAAAACGCGGAGAATCAAAGAAACAAAAGAAAAAAACAAAAAACAAAAAAAATAGATCACAGAAGCTGAAAGAGTCGAAGATGGAAAAATAGAAGATCAAGAAGCGAACAAAGAGGAGGAGACTGGATACGAAGACGAAGAAACGAAAGACGCATTCCAACACGCACACGGAATGGAAGGAAGGGAGAATGTGATGGGTCGGTCGGGTCAATTGCCGGTATAAATGGGGCTGGTTATGTGGTAAATAATAGTCACATGGAGCATCCTGCTTTAACAAACAGGGAGGTACGAAGTGGGCTCAATACTCATATGGGCCAAGGAAGAAACAATTTAAATGTAATGGCCCAAAGGGTAGGGACCCAAAAAATTGGATCTAGCTTATCCTCAATTGCAAGTGGTGGAGGTGATAACCCTAATCATGCATCAAGAGGAAGCCACTATGGAGTTGGTGCAACGACGTAAGGGGGAGCCTCTACAGTAGCGGCGAACGCTGGCAACAATGATTGTCGTGGGTCACAGTTTAGGCATTTGACTCAAGAAGAGCTGAATGATAAGAAGAGACACAATCTTTACTTTAGGTGTGATGGCCTCTTTTCTTCAGACCATGTATGTCCGAGTCTGCAGCGGCATGTCATGTTGTTGGGGGAAGGAAGCGAAAACAAAGTTCCTGCAATGGAGAACAACAAAAGGGGTGTGCAAAGAGAAGGGACCAACCATCTAGTGTCCACAGCGTGAAAGGACTCACTTCCAATCGATCCCTTAAATTGTGGAAAGATTTAAAAGGGTATAAGGTGGTGATATTGGTTGACAAAGGAGTTTCAAACAACTTCTGGGTTAGAAAGGTGGTTGATACTCTGAATTTGCCTATGGACGCGACTAGGGAAGTTATTGTCAAAGTAGATGATTTCCATCGAACGCAAATCCCAGGAGCTTACAGGGGCGTATGCTTGGAGTTACCTAATCTCACTATCACCCAAGATTTCTCTGTTTTTAATCTAAGTGGGGTGGATGTTATTTTGGGCTTCATGAAAGATGGTGGCCCAAAATATATTCAGGTTGCATCGGGTGACAAGCATGCAGGTGGTGACTGTAGGCTAATGGACCAGACATCTTGGAGCTCCAAAAGAAGTGCTAGTGGCCCAAAACTTTTTTGTGTAGTAGACATCAACAAAAGGCATAAAACTGAACTTACAGGGAGTGGAGATACCCCTTGTTGTTTTGGGTAAAGAGGTTATAGGTAATATAGCGCTAGTGCATTATGAAAACAATTGGGCAAGGGGATCAGAGAATTGCAATTTCCTGAGTTCTGGCATTACTGGTGATGTATGCTTCAAGATATGGGACCCTAGTGGATGTTGTCTCGCGACACCTTTTCTCTTCCTTCACCTTGAGGACAAGGTGAGTTTTGGAGGGGGAGTATTGCTGGGCTATGACAAGTGGGCCCAAGCCCAGCAATGCAAAAGAGTCCATAGTAGTTAGTTAGAGGAGAGAGATGTTGTTATATAATGTGATTTGGGGGTGGGGTTTTCTTTATGCATGTATTCAGAATATTTGGAGTGAGGTTTTGGGAAAGGATCTCTTGGGATCTCTTTGGCCTAGGTATATTGGCTTTAGAGTGAGTGAGGTCTTTTGGTGTTTGTTTTCTACAATTTATATTGTATTAGTGTATGTAAAAAGAGGCTATGCCTCCATTGTTAATGAATTTAGTAGTGTCTTTTTCTGAGTTCCATCATATTATAACAAAGGATTTATTATCAGCGAGATGTATTTCGGCAAAGGTTAGAAATTTGAATGCATAAGCTTTATTAAGGTTCATTGCTACTTTTAATTGATTAACAAGGCTGAAAATATGACAAGCTATCATATATTGAGAATAACAGGTTACAACTTAGAAATAAGGTCGAAGAAAGCAATGCTACTTAGAGGTGGCTGATTGATTCATGCCTACCTCATTTAACATGTTTTATGGGATAGTTGACCCGTAAGCCAAACTCATGCCAAATTCTAGCTTAGTATAACATGTAATTAACGGCGGACCCACATAGGGGCACATGTCCGCACTTGCAGACATGAAATTTAGATTTTAGATTTTTTTTTTGTTATATGTCCTTATGTGTCTCTTATTCAATATTTATATTAGTCAATGTTAATTTTGCAATACAGATGTTAAATACTTTTTTTGTGTTGAGATTAAATGTCACTAATTTTTATGGCATAATATTGTTTTTCATGTAGTAACTGAAGAGATAGGATGACTTGATTTTCTAAGTTTGCACACTTCAATCGCTCAACTCAACAATCATTGAACATAGCTTCACTGTCATACTTGCTTCACTAGTAACATTTAATTTATGAAAAAAGTGTTTGTCATTTTAAATGACACAACTTGTGTCATTTCACTCTCACAAAAAGGTGAAACTCACACTTTTTTCTGTCCACTCTCTCCCCCATGATCTATCTCTTTCTCTCACTTAAAATGATACAATTTTATATCCCTTTAAAATGACACATACTTTTCCCTTAATTTATACATCATTTTTTACTAATTTATATTTCTATCTGCCTAGAATTGCTATTTATCCTATATATTTTTTCTACATTGATAAGTCAACTCCTCCATGTGCGGACATGAACTTTTTTTTCTGGGTCCGCCACTGCATATAATTGTGTTAGTAACAGTAAAAAATAAAAATAAAAAAATATGTCACTTTCAAGCGTTACAATTCAACCATGTTAACATCAGCTACCTAGTGTTCTCTAATTGCCGAAGATCAGGTCATGATATTGGCAGCCTTGGGGGTGAGATTACAGTCAGCCGTTGGTCTTTTATTTTATTTTTTTGGAAAATAAAATGGTAAAAAGGGGGAATAAAGAAGGAAGAAGTACCTTCCAATCTTAATTATCTGTAAACTACAATTAAGATTCTTTGAACTTGAGAAAGGAAGAAAGATATTCCCTTCTAATAGACTATTAACAGACATTAACTATACTAAAGCTCCTTGTGAAAGAACGATTTTCACATTCAAGCAAAAGTAATTTTTTTAGTAGATAGCAAAATGATTTTTTTTAACTCTGAAAACGGAAATGGAAAAGTTGCCACTAGGAGTCTAGGACCAGGACCAGGACCAAGGAAAACTAATTGGAAAAGTTTCTTCCCACTGAAGTGCTTCATTCTTTGGGTGGATAAAGCCTAAACTTTAGCCGTAGCCCAAAAAATGGATATAAGATATTTGATATGGATTGCGAAACTGTACAATTGTGTTAAATCAGTTTAAACTATTTTTAGGAATGCCATAACTGAAATGTGGGAACGAAGCAACTATCCAGTAATTACTTTTCGGGTAGTTTTGTTTTGGGGAAATTGATGTCACCAACTTCATAAATTGGATAAATAATTAATAATTATAATTTAGAAAAATATGTCTCTCATATTGCATGATACAAAAATTATCTCATCCAAACAAAAAGTGAATGAGATCCACTTTTTTTTTTTTCTCTTTTTCTTAATGGGTCCCACCCCAACATAAGAAATATATTCCCCCTATAATTTAATAAGAAATTTTTTCAAAAAATAACTATAATTTTTACAAATCTGATAACTTTCCAACATTTTCTTCTCTCAAATTCCTCAGGCAGTTACCATGGATGCTAAGTCCAATTCTTCATCGGAGTCTATCACCTCTTCATAATCGTAATAGGCATTCACCTGCACCACAGAACAAAGATATAATTGACAACTTCATACAGATAATTTTACAATTACAAACTGTAGAAGATATGAGGGAATTTAATCCCATAACTATAGCACTAATTTAAAGTCCCTAGTACCCTCAATGTCAACAAAATTCATTCGACATCTGGGCTCAAATGAGTAAGATTCTTTTACCTTCGGCCTTGGAGTAACTGCTGAAAATCCATGAAATATTGGATCGTCAAAATTTGGGGGTTCAAGGACCACATAGGCACCCTTGTTGTTATACCTCTCCTCTGTTGCCTGTAGCAAATAATACATTTTCAAGAATATAATAAAAAGGTTCATTCAATAATTTCAATAAACATCTCAACCTCCTTAGTTATTTCTATAAGCAAAACAAGGTCATGTAATGTTTGTCAAACCAAAGTCCCATGACCACAAACATTTTAGTTCTTCAAGAATGTCATTCATCCAGGTTGAGTTTAACAAATGCCTGAACTTCTTGATCAAGCTGCATATTTTTTAATACTTTCTTGTAAGATTGACTTAGAAGAAAATAGAAGTTTGCTATCTAGACAAAACCACAAAAGATAATCCACATTCATCTTAGCACATTAAAGTAGCAACTGGTAAAGTTTTTCCTTAATGGAAATTACAACTGGCGAATTACATGTTCTGATACTTTATAAAGATTACTGGAAATATTCAAGTGGCTTGACAACTATAAAAAAAAGAAGCCATTGCCATATAAGTCATTAAACCATATTACCAAATACAAACCAAGATAGCCTTCAACAAGAATTTAAGTTACGAAAGTAAACAACCAACTTATCAACAACACCTTTATCCCAAACTAATTTGGGTCGGTGGTACATGAACCTAAATGAAAGATACGAAGTGATTGAAAAAAGATAGAAATGAAATTTGTGTGTTTGTGTGTGTGTGTGAATTAGAGGGAAAGTATATTAAGGTAAACTAAAAATAGAGATATATAGGAGGGCAAAAAAAGAGTAAGAAAGTGAGACAAAATAAAAAAAATAAAATTGCAAGCATGAAACAACCAACTTATAAAACCACTCCCCGTTTAACCCGACTAGCAAGTGTGGGGTGGAGGCAATCCTTGTACGCAGTCTTACCCTTGCATAATTGCAAAGAGGCTGTTTTCTGGATTCGAACTCATGACCTTTCAGTCATGAAAGAACAGCTTTACCACTGCTTCGGTTCGCCCCTTTATGAAACAACCAACTTATATAAGAATAAAATTGCAAGCATGATTGGGGTGGGTAGAGATTTGGGTGGGTCAATCACAGATTCAAATTCTAATCAATGAAACAAAAATGCAAGCCAAGGACATATCTTTAAGATTTTCTTGTGAATATTGTCCAACAAAATTACAAGGGTGAGTCTTGGAGCAAGTGGTAAGGTTTTTGCTTTGTAACTGGAATGTCACGGTTTCAAATCTAGGAAATAGCTTATTTGCAAAAATGCAAGGATAAAACTGCATACAATCGACCTTCACTCTTTGCAAAGCTTGGAAGTCTTTGTGCAATGGGGTTTTCCCTTCTCCAACAAAATTATCAACAGAAAAATAGTGCATTTGTTTGGATACCATCTCTTAAGGAACATTCTAGAAAGAAGTGTAGAGAATCAGTCACTCAAGGCACTCATGCTGAGTCACCAAGGCAGTTAGAGGGGGAATATTCTGGAAGGGAAATTCTGTTAGAGGCAACGAAGGTGAGTCATATATGGAGAGTAAGAATGCTTAGTATAAATAGAGGAAGGAAAAGAAGGAGAACCAGGCTGGAATTTGGGACAATTTTGGGACTTGGGAGAGACTCAAAGCACTCTCGAATTTGCTCTGAACCTATCTTACTTCTTTTAGCAATGATTTCATATTCTGTAATTAGGAAGTGACACTATATTTCTTTTGTATTCAGTCCTTTAATTTCTGTAATCGTGTAATTTGTTTGGTTGTTGATATAAATACAGAAAAATCCAGAGAAATATGGGCCAAAAAGTCCCCTGGTGTTGTTTCATTTATCAATTTTGAGTTAGTTTCTAACAGCTTCCCAGATTCATTGTACATGTATAGGATGCCACTCATATACACAATTTATTTAATTAAACACCACAGCATAATATCTGAAGTTTTACTATTCTTTTTATTAACACAAAATGACTAGTAACAAGTTTAGTGCAAGATATTTACTGTTCTATAATACGAATGTTCAAACCACTGTCAAATGTTTTCCTATTAAGAGATAATATATTTTCCAGATACCTATAAGGTTCATGCTAACCTTAAAATGACAAAGGAATACGTTAGGAAGCCCCCAATTGTGAGGGTGCACACTAGGAGGAATCATTGAAGATTTAACCACTGGGAGCAAGGAAATGAGCGTGACTGACTATAACTAACTACTAGCGCGACATAAGGTCATTGGGAGAGAAAACTCTGTTGTAACAGAAAATATAAAAGGAGAGTAGAGTAAGGAGAAGGTAAGAAAGGAGTGTCTATAGAGTGGTTCGGGAGAGTTCAGGGCCTTTCGAATGTCCCTGTTATTTATCTCTCTCATTTTGTTCATTGTAAACACTTACAACTACTGCTATCATACTGATAACAGTAGTTACAGTGGAATACTATAATTCTTAATTTTGCATTATCTGGTCCAGTCTCAATCAGAATACAATGAAAATATATACAATGCATTTCAACAAATATAAGGGTATCCCAGTGCATGAGGTAACCAATGTGGGGTTTGGGGAGGGACAGATATATGCAGCCTTACCCACAAGCAGAGAGATTGTTTCCACAACTAGAACCTTTAACCACTAAGTCACAATGCAGAAACCTTACCATTGCACCAAGGCTTACACTCATTGATTGATTGAATCCTAGTCAAGTTATTGATCCTAATTATATATAAATCATACAAATAGAGTGTTAGGAAACCTCCTTGAGCCATAAAGGACACCTGTGGAGTCGGCACATGGGTAGTTATGAGATAATATTCCTCAGTTTGTTGAGGGGGAATAGGTTAGAGGCAAGATGCAGAATAAGGTAGGGAATAAGTAGGGAAAGGCATGGTTCATTTGGGACTTCAGCAGAATTTGGAGCTTGGGCTGGAACTTGGGAGAGAATTAGAGCCTCTCCAATTGCTCTGAACGATCACTTTCTTTTCCAGTTTTCATCTGTTTCCATTCTTTTAATTTTCCTTCTTTAAAATTAGTGGATGTACTGTTTTCTTTTGTTGAATCCATTCTGAATTCAGGTTCATTAATACAAAACTCTTTTCTTGGGTTCTCAATTTTCCTCATTTTCGGATCTGGTATCTATTGTAAAGTCATCTTCAAAAAGCATAACGGCAAGTAATGTGACTTTTAGCTGTTTATCCTCTCAACATAACAATGATGCTATCCCCCCCCCCCCCCCCCCCCCAAGAGGCAAAAAAAAAAAAACCACCACCATAAGAAAGAAAAAAGGAGTTAACATCGGCAAAAATCCATTTAGGTCCATTAAGGATTAGCAGTACGTAATCCGTACTAATACCCTACCACATACGTAAGAGATTGGAGTATAAGACAAATGTGTAGCCAAGAGAATTAATAACAAACCTGAAATTGTGGGTAATCAGGAGCACTAAAAAGGGTGACCAGCTTTCCAGAATCCACAACATGATCAATAGTGTAACCATTAGCCATTCCATCAAAATCATCCCTTTTTTCCCTAGCATCAGGACCTTCATGTGACCTGATGATCAACTGAAAAAGAACATAAGTGATGATCCATATATCAGAAAGAAGTTGCCAGATAAACAAGAAACTATCATATACACATACAAAGAGCAACAACATAACACAGAATATTACGCAGAGCCAGGAGACATAGTAGGCAAGCACTCAAAGCATTCAGCCATTTTGTAGTTGATTAAACATTAAGGTTATCAGTGTTACATGTGCACTAATTGCTCATATAAATAAGCTAAATTATAGTTAGTTAGACATTCAAGTAAAGATATGAACTGTGAGCCGGTTTCCTAAGTAGCTGGCTTAGAGCATCTCTTATATCATGCAAGAACTCAGTTTGATACCAGCATAAGAACCCTCGCAATGACCAGCAAATATATGAACTGTGAAGCAATGATTTGGACATGTGGGAAACAATAAAAATCTAAAAGCATAAGGACACATTATATAAATAAGAAAATAATTGATGTACATGTGTATGAAATTATCAACACATACCATAATGTAATGTAACTCAATATATTCGACTAGTGTTTACACGTTTAAAAAATGCTAACTATCCATTAGTTTATCTTAATCCAATAATTCCTGTTCATATGAATTGGAGTGCACAATTGCTTTTTTAAGTGTTAGTCCTTCAAAAGCTCTGATACTTTTCCACCATGATGTCCTGAGCTTTAGCATTAAGTCAATATCATAACACAAGGAACTTTGTAACCTGTTAAATACTAACGTGCACAAATGGTTTACACTAATTAAAAAAAAAAAAAAAAATTGACAGAGAATAAAGAAAACTTCCTTATAAGATATGCAGCAGCTGAGTCTTATATTTGTATTATTTGAGAGTATTAGATATTTTAGCTACCCAAGAGTCATTGTTTTATGTATTTAATATGTTTAATAAGCCAAGAAGAGTCCAATATCATAATTAGGGGATGAGTAAAGTAATTATAGATAGTCCAAAAGTCAGTTAAAAGTCATTAATTATGCCACTTAAGGATCTAGTCAGTTCTAAATACATATTGGGTGTTCAAATAGTAAATATCTGCGTAATTTTCAGAAATCAGTAAAGATAAATAGGTGTAGTATAACCAAAAAAAAAAAAAACACTCCCGTTAAACCCCAACTAACTTACCCATGCATATTTGCAAACAGGTTATTTCCCAGATTCAAGCCCGTGACCTTTATGTCACAGAGGAGTAGTTTTGCCATGGTTCTGGGTTCGCCCTCTTAGAAATAGGTGTAGTATATTTAGAAAATGCCTTTTGGTTTTCTTTTCACGTTGGGGTTAGATTTTTTATTTTGGGCACAACTTAGGATTATAATTCATTCCAATCATATCAGATTTCTATCCAAATACCTACAGAACCTATTTCCACAATTTTCCTTCACATTCAACACTAAATCTAAACAAATTCCCGGGGTGCATGAAATATGCCATTGTAAACTTAGGTTTCAATCAGTCTTGAAGTTGGCTAATACACTAAATAAAAGAAAATTGCCCAATCACCAGAGGTCCCAACTCCCAATTTAACAATAAACTCATGATTTACTTTTCTGATTTCACTCCTTTTGACTCCCCTCTTTTCCCAAGTTTTCTGAAACAGTAGCTATTAATATCTAACCACTTGAATTAATTTTCTTTTTTCCAGACAATACATTAAAATTATGTTAATCAAGTCTTCTTCTCTTCACTTCACTTAAATAATCATGTTAAATCAAGCAGAAATCTGAAGCTGGTAAAAGAGGATACATGCTCTCATAATCAATGTTTAACAAATAATCCTTTTCTTAGAAATATGATATGATAAAAATTCCCATAAATAACTTCCCAGAACAAATTTAATAACTCGAATACAACCCACCAAGACAATTAAACACATCTCCATGGAATAAAAAAGTAACTTGTTTTATTACCTTTAGTTGGTACCTCTTCAAAAATTCTTCAGTACAATCAGGACCCCACAACAAGCCAATTCCTCTTTCCTTGTTTGGAGCAAGACCAGGAGTTTTTGATGGATCAGACCACAGAACATCACCAGGAATCAAGTTTGAGCCTTCCCAAGGAGGATCAAGAACTGATCGTCGAGCCTTAGACAATTCTTCCAACGATCCAAGAGATAGAATTTTGCTATCAGGATTAAAATTAATCTTACGGTTCTTCTTTCCTTTTAATCTCTTTGATGGCGTTACAGTTACACTGCGGAAAAGACCTCCATGAGCCGTGTATACACGACCCGCTACAATAGAAGCCAAAGGAAGACCTTCAAAGCATCCCAAACATTTCCGGTACACATGCTTACCTTTATCACCATACTTTACCATTACCTCTTTCTCAAAACCATAAACCGAAGTACAGTATTTAGATTCATGATTCCCGCGTAGCAAATATATGTTATGCGGCATGGATACCTGATACAAAATAATTACAGAACTATAAATAACATAAAAGTAAAAAAATTATCTCATCCCCCAATGACCCTATTTCAAGCAATTAAGGGTCTGTTTGGTGGACATGATAGGATAAAGACAAATAGGATAAGAGAATTGGATAAGGATAGGATATGGATTGGATAAGCATATATCATATCATATATTTGATATGCACTGGATTAGCAGTATGATAGGATTATGTTATCCTATCATGTGTTTGAAGTGAACCAGATATCATCATGATATGATATAAATGGACTAAAATACCCTTTATTTTACCCTTTTGCTGCGTTTCAAAGGGAAGCGAGAACGAGAACTAGAAATATCCATGGCTTCCCCTAGCAATGATTTTGCGTAAAAAAAATTTATTATCAAAATCACCTTCCTCATATGACGACAATTCCCCTGCTAAGCTGACAACAATTCCTCATTCTTTTCAAATCATGAAATATCACTCCCCTCCCTCACTCAAAAATATCCATGGCTTCAGCTACTACCATTTCCTCATCAAAACCACAAAAGATTCATGCATCCGACATTTCAAGCATCAAAGCCTTCGCAGAATCAAATGGAGCCTCTTCCATCCCTTCAACCTACTACTCTCTCACTGAACCCCGTGATGATGTAGCAGACTATCTTGCATCTTCCATCCCAGTCATTGACTTCTCTCTCCTCACTTCACAGTTAACACGACACTCAAATCCACTTCCAAGCTAATTGTCGTCATCTTCCCCTGATTTTTGTTGCAAATTTACAGACAAAAGGAAGTCGAACAGGGTAGATGGGAAGGGGTTTGGCTTAGAGAAGTAAATAAATAAAAATAAATAAATTTTGCTATCCTATCCTATTGGTTTCTAACCCAAGCCCTCCCTTGGGATAAGTTATCAAGCTTTAAGCAGGATAAAATAACTCAACCTGATAAGCTTATTCTATCCCATGAGCTCACCAAACAACGGATAAGGATATTATAGGATAAATTATCCTAAGTCTTTCTTAGAAAATAATAAAACAAACCCTACCTTATCCACACTAGTTAGACAAGCTAGCATAGAAGATTAGGATTATCTCAATAGCAGCATACTAGCATCTATATAAACTGTCAAACAAAGTATAGTACATGGTTTACATCTAATTAAACTCAAGGCATATTTGACCTTTCGAACTGTCACATTACATTAATCCATAAAATACAACATACATAAAAAGCTTTTTAACTGAATCAAGTGAGAATTGTTCATGGAAAGCAATAAAACAAAAAACCAAAAAAATCCAAAGATGAATAATTTAAACTTTATTTTTCCAAAAACACAAAAAGTTAAAATAAAATTTAAAAAATTGAAACTTCAATTTTGCCAAAGACATTTAAAACTAGAACATGATTGAGAGGTTTGAAAATTTACCTTCCACGCCAACAAGAGCAAGAAAGTTTCAAGGCCCCAAGCACCTCGATCGACATAATCGCCATTGAAGATAAAGATTCGATCCTGGGAGGGGTAACCGGCCTCTCGTAGAAGGAAGAGCAGATCATGCAATTGCCCGTGAACGTCCCCAACCACCACGACGGTGGCGGAAGAATCGGAGTTAGGGCGAAAGGGGTCTACCGGCACGCAATTTGGTTCCTTGTGTAGCATCTTGGAAGCGACGAGGATGAGAGAGTCGAAGACTTGAACGGGAAGAACCGAAGGGAACTCCGAGGGAGGGAGGTTCCTCGAAGACCAATCGAAGCATGCCATCAGATTCTCGATCCAATCGATGCTGAGATTTCCATCTTCTGACCACCATATTGGAACTCGCAGTTCTTGCGGTGGACTTGGAAACGATGGTGATGGTGATGTTGATAATGATGATGGTGGTGGTGATGATGGTTGCGCAAGTTGGTTTTCCTCGGAGGTAGCGGCGCCGTTGACGTTGACGGTGGCGGAATCCGGTGAAGGATGCGGTGGTGCTGAGTCAGGATTAAGGGTCATGGTAGAGGAACAAAGTGTCAGAGAAGAATTTTTGGGAAGTTTAAGAGCCATAGATATGTAATAGGTAAAATTTAAAAATTTAACAATTTAAAAATTTAACAACTTCACTGGAGTGAATAAATTAACTACGCCCGTTTGGTTGAGAAAAATTTTGATGAATAATAGGGAAATGATATTAAGGAAATGGTAGGTGATAAGTCTCTTAATTGAGACTTAGAGCATATGATTTAATTAGAAAATGAAGAGAAAAACAGATTTATTTTGCTATAAAATACCCAAAAATTGAGTTGTTTGATCTTTTGTTGATTAATTATTAATGGGCTGTAACATTTCATTTTTCAGGCCCATTTTCTTTTTGCATCAGAAATACCCATGAAAGGAAAGAAAAGAAGACATCACTGGAGAAAGAAAGAGATGGGTCGGACCTAAAATACTAAAGCCCAAAGGAAGAGAAGAAAGAAACAAAGAAAAAGGAAAGAAAGAGAAGACTGAATCAGAAACGCAAAAAAGAAAAAAAAAAACGAAAACCCTAGCACTCACACATCGTGCGATCAGAACCCGCATCCTCCATCCCTAATCCCTGCCCCAAATCGATCCAGAAGGTCAGAATATCCTTTGTCCACGGTTCATCTGTCCAAATTTGACCCACACCCACAGTCCATTAAGAAAAGAAAACACGAAAACCCTAGCCACTATTTTTGGGTTCAGAAAAAGCCAAACAAAGATCCGTTACTTAGTGGAGGCTGAAGCGATTGTGAGCACGCGTCAGTGTACGGGTTGAAGGAGCGACAGTTCCATCCGGATTGTATGAGCGAAGGAGGGAGCTGCTGGGGACCACCTGCCTGCAACGCGCGAGAAGCGCGTGACACTTGCTGCGCTGGAGAGGAAAATCGTGCAAAGAAGGAAATGAGCCCTATATAAAAGGAAAATAGGAGTGAGTCATGGGCAGGATTTTTTTCTCTTTGGTTCTGATTTACTGTTTTTAGTTTTATTGTTTTCTGAACAATTTTAATTTTATTTTCTTTTAAGTTCTGTTTTGTAATGAGATTCTGGTTCATCTGATGAACTTGATGCATGTCTTTACAGCACTGAGATTGCCGGTTGTTAGGCCAGTGCTGTAATTTAGTTTCTAGCATTTTTCTTTTGTAATTTCTTTAGTTTTCTGTTACTGTTTGCAAGCCTCATCTCTATGGATAGTGGCTAACTTTTTAGAGGTTGGGTTTAGGTGATACCCAAACTTCAGTGCTTGTTAAATGTTTGGTTTTCTGGTTTTAATTTTTCTATCTCAGTTGTTTAATGCTTTTTCTAATGTTTAAAATTATCTGCATTTTGGCCGAATGTCAGAGGTTTGGTTAGGAATTAGTTGTTGAGAAATAACTAACTCTGGATTTTGCATTAGACACATGGACTTAGATGAGAAATCATTTATGGGATCTCATTTCAGAAATGAATGAGACCTCATGTAATATTGGACCTGAGTCTCAAGAGTCCTAATCCCACTTGGCATAGAGATGTGGAAGTGGGCAACTTTGGAATAAAATAATTTTTAAGAGATTAAAATTAACAATACAGTTCTGTTAACTGAGAATCTTATGATGAGTTTTTTGTTAATCAAATTATTTTTCAAGCACTGTGGGGAAGGAGAGTCAGAACTCAACCCACCTTTTTGAACATCTTTATCAACTCAGATTTCCAATTTCCTTTGTTATTTCATATTTCAATCTTTGTTCTGTTTCAAAATTTTTTTGTCACATCTGTCATTTAAGTTGCTTCATTCTTACTTCTTATTTTATAACTTAGGAAAGTAATTCAGAAAATTCTAAAAGAAAAGTGAACAGTAGTGTTTTAGGTCCATTCTAGATTATTTTTACTTTACAATTTTTATTTCTTTTATTTTCAAATAGTAACTCAGTTTTAAGCAATTACAAATTTTAGTCATTTCAAAACGCCAACGATCCTTGTGGGAACGATAACTGGGACTTATAACAGCCCTATATTACTTGTTGTCGCGTATACTTGCACGCATTACTTGCACAACTGTTAACAAGGCATCAAGTTTTTGGCGCCGTTGCTGAGGATCGAGGCGTACATGATCAGATTTCTGTGTGATTGCTATTTTTGAACTGCTTTTTTTTGCTATTTTTAGTGTAGCTCATTTGAATTCTGTTTCAGTTTTGTTTTAATTATTATTACTGTAGTGTCTTGAATATTGGTAGTTTAAAATCTGTTCTGTTCATATTCTGTTTCTTTTATGTTATTTAAATTTTTTTTTATTCTAATAGTTCATAGTTGTTATTTTATTTCATAATTTTGTAGTTACAGTTTTATTTTAATTATCAGTCTCACTCTTTCAGTGAGTCTGCTTTATAAAGCTGTAAAGCTGTGAACTGTCTTGGGACTTTTCTGTTTGCAGGTTCTTGTTTGTTTATTTTTTGCTTGTTTTGCATAAAAAAGTTGGTTAGTAATCTAGGTGTTTTAGCTAAGTCAGGTTTACCTGTTTTAGTTAAAAAGGGTGCATGAGTGCAACTCCACACCCGTTCATTGATTCATTTGACCCAGAACCTGAGAGGACCTTTAGAGTTAGGAGAAGAGCCCAAAGGCAAATCCCAATCCCAAATTTTGAAGAAATGGAGAATCTAGGAAATGGAAATGGAAATGGAAATGGGAATGAAGAAGAAACACCAAGGATAGAAAACCCGCATGTAATAAATGACAATGATAGGTCCATGATGGACTTCATCATACCTGTGTTGGATGAGTTAGATCCAAGCATAGCTCAACCTGTGAATGGAGTGCCCTTTAAGCTAGAACCGGTGATGTTCACCATGCTCCAAAACATGGAGCAGTTTCATGGGTTGTTGATGGAAGACCCCACACAAGCACCTTAGAAATTTCATAGAAGTGGCCAACACTTTTAGGAATCCCAATATCTCGGATGATGTGTTAAGATTGAAGCTTTTCCCTCATTCACTGGCTGACAAAGCCAAAGAATGGTTGAACTCCCTTCCATCCAACTCCATAACCAATTGGCACACCCTTGCTGAGAAATTCATCATGAAATTTTCCCCCTCCAACAAGATAGTGCAAACTAGAGGTGATATTGCTAACTTCATGCAGAGGGATAGTGAGACATTAGTGGATGTGTGGGAGAGGTACAAGAACCTTCTTAAGCAATGCCCTAACCATGGATTGCCCTCTTGGGCAGTGTTACAAACTCTTTACAATGGCCTGAATACTCAAAACAGGGCTTTGGCAGATTCTGCTGCTAATGGCATGTTTATGACTATGTCCTTTAACCAGGCCCATGAGTTGTTAGAACATATGACTCAAAATTATGCCCAATGGCCTGAAGAGAGAAATCAACCAAGGAGAGTGGCTGGTTTACATGAGATAGACCCTGTAACAGCCCTTTTCAGCCAAGTTTGATGCATTGTCCAATTTAGTGAGAACCCAAGGACAAACCATTGAGGCAAGATTGTCCCAACCCCAAGTTCCTGTACCGACACCTTAAATAAATGTGACCCAACCTCAAGTTAACGCAATAAACACAAGTGTAACTTGTGTTTGCTGTGGTGGGCCCCATTTGTATGAAAGCTGCCCATCAAACCCAGAATCTGTGTTTTATGTGGGGAACCAAAATAATTTTTCCACTAATTTTAATCAAGGATGGAGGCAAAACCAACCTCCTCAATATTTCCAAGGGCAAGGGCAGCAAGCTGGCCCCTCCAATGCCCAAACCAAAATGCCTTTTCCCACCCAGAATTACCAACAAAATTCAAGGCAGCAAGCTGTTGTTCAACCTAGTGAGATGTCTATTGCTCAACCTTCTTCCTTAGAAGCTTTGTTAAGGGAATATTTGGCTAAAAAACAGACCAAGCAAAACAGCTTGGAAGCTATTGTGCAAAGTATTCCAGCATCCTTGAGGAACATAGAATCCCAACTAGGCCATTTAGCAAACACTATGAATACCAGATCCCCTGGTACCTTGCCTAGTAACACTGAAGAGCCTAGGAGAAATAAAGAGCAATGCAATATGATAGAGCTTAGAAATGGCAGATCTGTAAATCAGCCATAAGTTGTGGTTCAACCTTCCACATTAAAAAAAAAAGAGAAGAGGAGCACATGCAGAAAGAAAAAGATGCAAATTCTGAACCTGTTCAGAATTCTGTTGTTCATGACAGCCCCCAAAGGGCTGCGCATAGTAACCCCTTACCCATTCTGGTTGAACCAGACAATCAGCCCCCAATAGATGAGCCTTTAGGGAATAATTCCATGGAAAAATCCACTCCAAGGGGTTCAGCCCCTAAGCCAAATAATGATACACCTGCTGCCTCAAAAAGACCTCCACCACCCTTTCCTCAAAGGTTACAAAAACAGAAGCAAGATAATCAGTTTAGGAAATTTCTAGACCTCCTAAAACAGTTGCATGTCAACATCCCATTTGTTGATGCATTGGAACAAATACCCTCTTATGTGAAGTTCATGAAAGAAATTCTTTCAAGAAAAAGGAGGCTAGAAGAGTTTGAGACTGTTGCTCTTACACAAGAGAGCAGTCAATATCTTCTTAGTAAGATACCTCATAAACTAGGAGACCCAGGAAGTTTTACAATTCCATGTACTATAGGAGACCACTACATAGGTAGAGCATTGTGTGATTTAGGTGCTAGTATCAACTTAATGCCTTTGAGTGTGTACAAAAAGCTGAAAGTAGGAGAGCCTAATCCCACCACTGTCACATTGCAGTTGGCTGATAGGTCTTTAGTTTATCCGGAAGGGAAAGTAGAGAATGTTTTGGTGAAGGTAGATAAATTCATTCTACCTGCTGATTTTATAATCTTAGACTATGAGGAAGACAGAGAGGTTCCAATTATTTTGGGAAGGGCTTTCTTAGCCACTGGTGGGGCTGTCATAGATGTTAAGGAGGGTGAGTTGGCCATGAAATTGAATGGTGAGCAAGTAAAATTTAATATTTAAAAGCCATGAAATACCCAATAGACATTGAGGAATATTCTAGGCTAGATATCATTGACTGTGTAGTCAAAGATAAATTTTTGCATGAGTCCTCATTAGACTCTTTACAAAATTCTGGTTTTGAGGGTCTAGAAATCAGTCAAACTGATTCTGAAAAAGTAGTTAAGTGGTTGAATTCCAGAACTGATGTGGTTTGGAAAAACAAAAAAATTTGAGTCTTTAGAATTAGCAAAGAGAGGGTTAAAACTTCCTAAACCCTCAATTGAAGAGCCCCCTGTGTTAGAACTTAAGCCTCTTCCTAATCATCTTAGGTATGCTTATCTAGGGGAAAAAGACACCTTGCCTGTTATAGTGTCCAATCTGCTCACTGATTTAGAGGAAGAACAGTTGCTGATTGTTTTAAAAAAATTTAAAAGGGTTATAGGTTGGTCTTTGGCAGACATAAAAGGAATTAATCCCTCCTATTGCACACATAAAATTCTTTTTAATGACCTAACCAGCAGCTCTAGAGAGCAGCAAAGAAGGCTTAACCCAATCATGAAGGAGGTAGTAAAAAAGGAAATTATAAAGTGGCTGGATGCTGGGATTATATATCCCGTTTTTGACAGTAACTGGGTCAGCCCAGTACAGTGTGTCCCTAAGAAGGGTGGGATCACTGTTGTGGAAAATGATAAAAAAGAACTAATACCCACTAGGACTGTCACTGGTTGGAGGATCTGTATGGACTACAGAAAACTCAATAAAGCCACTAGGAAAGACCACTTCCCCTTGCCTTTCATTGACCAAATGCTAGAT